AAGATTTATTTTAATTTAACGCAAATTATGGGATTGTGCTCTGTAATATTGTATTATCATTTTAACAATATGTAAAAACAAATGGCAAAGATATATCGTTTTTATAGAAGTATATATTCTCATTGCCAATCACTTAACCGCTGATTCAATTTATTTACCTTTTTTTTGCAATTGATAATTTTCGGTATTTATTGGTATTTTGTATATCTATAAATAAATAAAAATTTGCACAAACTTCCCGATGCGTATGAATAATTGACATAATCACGAATTGAGATCAAAATTTGACGATAGAATTTTGATTCTATTTATAAAGTGAATCTATGAAGTTTGTATTTCCTATAAGATGACCCTTATGTGTAAGTAAGTTTATACGCATAGATAATCCATACGTGTAAATATACATTTCTACAATATTTCGATTTTTTTTCATTTTCTTGAAGGTTTTTTAGTGAAAAATGCACTCGAAATTTGATACTGGGAGAAATGAAAAAAACAATAATTTTAATTGTCGATCTCGTACAATAAGAGTGTCAATGAGAGTATACAAATAATATGAACATGTATATGCAAAAATGTAAAATGACTTACCGAATGCTTATTGCTTGTCTCTGATAGTTAATTTAATCGTATCATTACTAAGAGAAATCGTATAATCTGCTACGATAGTCGTTCACCAGGTAATTTTTATTTAGAGTACATTAGGCAGTTTCCAACTGCAGGATTCTGCAAAAAAGAAATAATGAGATTTAAAATGTAATATAGTTTGTTAAAATAAGTGTATATATATGACATAATTATAGCAAAAATATATACATAATATACATGAATATATTTGAAAAAATAATGACATATATATAGCAAATTGAAAAAAATAAAGAAAATAAAATCGCATGAAAAACATAAATTGTATCTAACAATAAGCAATTTTAGAATTACATGATAAAAAGTAGAGTAAATGTTCCGTACCGTATCTATTGATCTGTATAATTCATTGATGTTTGCTGATGTAAGTAAATTCGTAAGTAATTTTTGAAGATGATATTATATCTGCATGATGTCTAGACATTTATAGTATAGTGCATAAACTTATTAAAGTTATCTTCAGGTTTCTTAGTTGCGATAAAAATATTTCAGTCTTTTGAGATTTTCTAAGTTAGCTAAATTCGTTGTTATGTAACGTCATATGCTGATGTTTTACACGGTAATTGAGAAATGTTGCCAAATTGCGATCACGTAATTATTTGCATGAGGATTGTCCAATCAACCTTAAAAACAGTCGAAGACGCACTGCTTTCGATAATTGGTGATTCAGCGAGCATCTCGGCCCGTGATGAAAACTTTCGCGTCGAGCAGTTTGTTTCAAACGAAAAGTTTACAAAACAATGCCTCCAAAAGTATTCTATCGTAAGTATAAAAAGATGACTATCGCCTAACTAAAATCAGTCAACAGTCGTTGTTCATACAGCAATTAACTTTGAAATGGATAAAATCATGGTGAGTCAACAATTATACTATATATTAGTTTTCAAGTTATAAAAAATTATATTAATTAACAGAGCGATCAACTAATTCATTGATCAATATGTAGAGTAATCTTAAAGCCAATTCAATGAAATGTTTAACATCAAATTTGAGTTTCCTAATAATTTGTTGAATTTTTACGAAAGGTTATTCCACTCTACAAGCATATTACTATATAACATTCGAATTTTCTCATAAAAAATAGCGCATATATTGTTTGGCATCCAACTGACAAGTTTTTCAGAAAAACCAATGCGTCAATATACTATAGCGCTAGTGACTGTTTTATAATTTTTTTTACAGTTTGCAGTACTTTTTGGCTTCTTGGCCATTAGTTCATCTTATGCCGGAGTATTACCGGCGGCCTACGTCGCGCCTTATGCCAGTACCTACAACGCACATTCAATAAATCATGCTATAGCCACACCAGTCATACATCAGGCACCAGTGATATCTGCTCCACTAGTAGCTGCTGCTCCAGCCTTGTCAGCAGCCCCGTTGGCGTACCATGCAGCTGCTCCGTTAGCAGCTGCTTATAGCACGCCTTTCATATATAAGTAATTTAAAAGGAATAGTGTACATATACAATAATTTGATAAAACATGTATTGAACATTATACGAAATATATGAACTAAGAATCAGACTATCATAAACATAAATAACATAAAATTTTCTTACGTTAATATTTAGCTTTATTCAATTTTACTGGCTCTTCATAAACGTATGGAAATACAGTAATATTAGTTGTATATGAACAGCAAACAGTCTGATGAATATAGCACCATATATGTAAACCGCAAATACGAAGCTAGACAAACAGGAAACCAACAAGCCAATAAATATTTGTAATTTCAACATAATTTGTAAATTTGTTCATGTAATAGAATTTTTTTTAATTAAAATCTGTATATTACGAAGACATTCAGTAATTGTTTTGTAATTTTAGCAGAAGGCAGTAGTTGCCCATTCTAGTTGCGATGCCCCCGAAAACAATTTACAATTATATCAAATTTTAGATCAATGGCCTCCAGTGAAAATCTGATAATATTACTACCTGATATCAAGCTGAGTGGACATAGAACCCGATGATTGCTAATCTATCTATAATCAGCTTAACTTTAATAATGTCAAAAAGAGGGCAGTGCTTCTTTCGTATTTACAATCTTATAACACCAGTTCTTGTCATTTATAACTTTACATATATATTCTATATACCTCATATATCTAATAATAAGAGCAAGAGAGATTTAACCTCGTATACCTAAAAGTTAATTTGCTACACTCTATAATATATTTGATCCGTAACGTTTTCAAAACATAGACAATTTCCTCAAATTTAATATTTCGTGTAATTTGTATCAGATTCAAATAAATTCGTTCATAGTTTTTTTCTTATTTCAAAATTGATTTAATGAATTAATTAAGCCAATATATCTGATATGATTATGCACACTTTACTTGTGCGTTTGTTAAGTCGCTTAGCGATAACGATTAGCTTACTAATACTTCTGCGTGATACGAGTACCCGAGTACCTAACCTACGCTCGATGCGTACGAAAACCAGTTATATTAGTTGGGCCGCGGCCTTGAAGAGAAATGATTAAATCAATGGCGAAAAGAAAAAAAAACACGATGCGAGAATTGTGAGAAAAAATTATAAACTTATCAGTGTCCTGTTCCAACGACCTTGACGAATTATAATACACGGAACTGAAACAAATCGAAATTGAAACCTATATAATATAATACAAGAACAGCTGAAGTGTTCTAGTATTCTTATTATTTCTATTGCTTCTATTTTTATCAATACCACATTGATCTGTATGAACTAATTGAATGCACATCTACGTCACAGATTCGAAGTTTTAATTAGCTTTGCAGCTAATTGATTACATGACCTGCAATAACGCATTTCAAATGAACGACCAAATGCCAAAGGATTCGTTAGCTGGCGTAGAACAATATCCAAATTTAACGACATGACGTTTACAGGTTTACAGGTTACCTCAATTATTGCTATCAGAAAGGTCATAAGGGCATATTTCAATTTTATATGTTGTTTCACATTTCACTGTTATTGCTAATTCTTCAATTAATTTGTTATCAGCTTAAAGTTAATTTGTTGCCGGTAATTAGATGATCGATTTTGATTCACAAAATATTTATATTTAATTTAACTTGCAATCAAGTAATAGTTTCAGGCTTTAATAATATAAATTTCTAGTAAAAGTTGGCGAAATAAATTAAAAGCATGCTTTTGCGTAGTAAATTGTAGCGTAATTAATTATAGTTAGTATATTATGTAATAATAATTATTATAATAAAATACTGCAGGTTCATATTGTAATACACACACAAAAAAGTAATATATTAAAATCAATATTTCTAATGTCGGAATAGTTAGTTTTTTCACTTTTGATTAAAAAAAAGTTATAACCAACGTCACACATATATGCATCAAGATCATAATATTATTATAATTATAATGTATTGAAGACTATTAAATTTTAAGATATATTAAAATAAAAAATATAGAAAAAAATATTTGGGTAATGGATAAATGATATTATGAAAAAGAACTAAACAAAAAATCAATTTTATGTAGGACAAGCTTACTGTTACTATTAATTTTCGTTACTTATTAATTTTGAATAAAGAAATATTATAAGGAAATTGAAGACTGAAGAGTTATATAAAAATATTTTAATTATAATAGATATTATATTAATGAAACAGTCAAATGAAAGTATATATAAATTATAAAAACTGTTTTCATAATCTTCATTAAACCAGGCACCTCTGATGTCTGTCTGAATATGAAAATAATGTATATATAATATATATATATATATATATATATATATATATATACAAAAATATAAAGTTATATTTTTTTATTCATATATGAATAAAAAAATATAACTTTATATTTTTGTTTGTGTATTCGGTATGTGTAAATACATGTGTATGCATATGTGTTTATATGTTTATGTATAACAATTGTTAAATATATTAAAGAATCAACTGTTATAATTGGAATTTGTTAAAACAATTTCACCAGGCAATAACTTTAAGTTATTAGAATTATGCGTGGAAAAGTTTAGGTGTACTTAAGTACAGAAGTATATTCATATATAATTTTGAGTAAGTTGTAATTGAAAAGCCAATAAATATAATTGAAAGAAAAACGAGGAAAACTAACTTGACATTTAATAAATTAATATCATTTGCTCCCTCTTCCCTAAATCCAACATGGGCAGTTGATCTGCCGCCAAGCAGCTAGTGCAAAATGCGTCTGAATTTGAACAAACGAACGCCACAATAGCAATCGCAAGCAAAGCCACAAAACCATTACTATACGATTACGGGTTGACGACTGACGTACGACATAACTAACAAGTAAGATCTAAAACCGACGGAATGCGAGCTCACCTCAAACACGGTCCTTATAAGGAAAACAGAAATGCAGATGCTGTAATATTACTATAGAATATAGATTATCTTTAGCGCGGTTTCATACTGGGACACAATTAGAATTTGAGTGTGTAAACAAAGGAAGCCTACGTCATGTCTCAAGACTTGGATTAAGTTAACCTAAAATGGTATCATAGGCATTATAATAATAATAAATGCTTTATATCCAAATCAACACTCTCAAACAAATAAATTATTTACTATATATACATATATATTGAGAAATAATTCGAACAATACAACGGAAATTTTATGTGAATTGGTACTTGGTCTGTTTTTTCTTAATCATTTATTCTTCAATGCCATACACACGCGCCACAATTATTGCTTCTGTTATGAAATCGATTGCCATTGCTACAGATAAATAAAAATACATATTCACGTGCATTGCTAATTTGGATTTATACTAATAATTGTCGATACTAATAAATGTCGAATATATAACATTCGTGTAATACAAGCCCTCCACTCTGGAAAACTTTATAAATTATTATTCTTTACAATTATTTCATAAATTGGTGGCACAGATCATGTGTCAAAATAAAAACCGTATAGATTTCCTTTCAGATACGCACTTTGAAGAATTAATATATCATTTATATCAACCTTCATGATGAAGGTACATTTATGTAAGAAATCCAATTATTAGTGGCATGTTGAAATCTTTGTCAAGATAAAATGTGCCATTTAAATATAATTTCCGACCTATATACGCGTTCTGTATCATGTATTTTCTGTATCATATACATTATTTATTAGTTATGTTTTTCGAGACTTCTAAATTGATGTTATAATGATGTAATTAAATTAGTTCATTCAAACTGAATGATCATCTAAAGTCAGAATAGTTCTGAAGGTCGCTCTTGAGAAATTTAAATCAAACCATCGTTAAATAATTCATAATTACTGCGCTTATGATATTAATAATGTATAAAGTTATTCACGTATCATAAAATTTTATTTCTAAGAAATTGGCGAGTTTTATGTTTTATAGTTATCGCAGATGCTTCGCTGATAATAGTGAATATCTGAAACAAATGCAGCTGGTTACATGCGTTTATAGCCAAATATGTATTTATTTTGATGCAATTTTTATCGTTTATCTTTTTATCATTATAAATAGATTTTGAAAATGTCTATAATAATCAAAAGATTTACAGAATTAAATAAGGTGTAATAAAATAAGTAAGTTTATTACTTATCGTGTCGTATGACACGACAATCAATTTCAGTATTTATTTCAGCATACAAAATAGTTATTAGTATTTATTGTTCATTTATTACAATTATTGTTAGGCAATACCTTAGAGAATAATATATTTAGCAGCTATGAAAAAAAATGAATACTATGTTATTGTACTGAAGAAAATGCTGAGACAAATGATGGAGGCCGATCTGTGCAAACGGAAACCTTGTGATTTTCAGTATTCGGAACGAAATTTACTCGAACGGATAATTTATGGGAAAAGAAATTGAAAACCTTGAGAATGCGAGCTACGGCTATGAAGAATTCATCAGCGGAACGTGATATTATACAATGAAATTGAACGTTAAGGAAACACAAATCCCACTAATACCCCCCATAGGTAAAAGGAACAATACATACTATACTATAAAAGACTATGACGATATCTAGCAAGTGCATTCATACAACGAGTAGTTGTGAAGTGATAATAAGGTGTAAAAAGTTGTTTCAAAATGTTCAAAGTGGTAAATAGAATGTATTTTCATTTGTTATACCAAATAATTGAACTTTAGGAAAAAAAACTAATAACTATTAGGAATATTTACAATATGATTTTGTATATAAAATAAATGTAGTCAATCGTTAAGTGTAAATAATGAGTATCTAACAATTATTGTGTTCCAGGTTATATTCTGGATGTGCGTTGCGGCTGCTTGCGCCGGCTACGTCGGCACGCCGCTGGCCTATAGTGCCGCCCCGTTGGTTTACAGCGCGCCCTCGTCTTACGCCGTTCCTGCGGCCTACGTCAAGAGCTATCCGTTAGCCACGTCCTACGCCAACACGTACAAGGTCAATATACCTTCTATAAATATTCATCCATTAGGGCTTGGGCTTGATTGTATGCCTATTTATTATGTTCCATTCGAATCGATATACGAAATTGCAAAAACTATAACCAAAAAGTCCGAAAATATCCATAAACACCATCGATTGCATAAAATCAATTTATTTCAGACGATAATTTAATTTTTATTAAATCTTATTTCTCAAACAAAACATTCCTTATGAAATACGTGATGAGTAACATTGTGAAACTTAATTTTGAATAAAACTAATTTTTTTTTTCAAAGATGGGATGATAACTAGCAGATAAAGCTACATAAATGATTTTTAATAGATTTTAATATTCATTGTTCATTTATTCATAACGACTATGAAGAATATTACTTATGGAAACAATTGTTTATAATTATGGTTAGGAAATGTAAAAAAAGAATAATATTTGATTATTTAAATTTCAAAAATATTTTTAAAGCCAATTCAAGCACATACATCAAATTAATAATGTACTTAGGTTGCTTATCTCTGCAATTTAACAATGCTAAAAACCCCTGCTGAAAGAATTCATATAAATGCCGTCTATATAAATGGTATTTTTTCTGTCTGGAAAGTGTGATTCGAAATGAAAAGCTTTTTTTGTATCGAATTGTACGATGGAAATATTTTAAAACTCGTATCTAAAATAAGAAGCAAAAGAAAGTGTGCCCTAAAAATTACCCGCAGAACGTTCAATAAATCTACTTGCTAAGGAAGTCATTAAACTCGCTGATCATTTAATGAAAAAGTTCCTTGAATCAATATAAACGACAGTTATATAATGTAATAATTACAAGTGATGGGAATTTACTATGGCAATTGCTAATAAAAAATCTTCAAGATTAATCAAGCGAGTTTAATTAGAGCTTACAACAATGAGAAATACAGCAACGCAAAATTGAAAAAATTAAGGATTAATCGTTGAGGTCAACTATCAAAAACTTTTGAAATAAAATAAAACAGCAACGACATTTCAAATATCTACAATAAATCTTTAATAAAAGGCATTTGGTATTAAGCGGATTTTTCCACATAATATTGATAGACATGGCCATTGAACTTTTGTAATACGAGAAATTCGTTACTGTGTATATGAAATGCAATCACGACAATAGTATAATAGGAGTTGAGAAATAAATTGAAAACGAAATTGATATGTGTATAGTAAATACAAAAAATAAATATCGTCGTATAAAAAAGAGATATATATATACATATATATATATATATATATATATATATATATATATATATATATATATATATATATATATATATATATATGTACTCATACAGCCAAACGTTTGTATATATATATATATATATATATATATATATATATGTGTGTGTGTGTGTGTGTGTGTGTGTGTGTGTGAGTAAGATATTGTGGGGCGATACATCAAAGAATAAAAGCAAAGATTTATAAATTAATCTTTAATTCCAAACGTTTCGACATTCAATTTAAAGTCATCATCAGTGGATATTAACGTTGGTAGGTATACAAAAAATGATAAAAATTCATAGTGTTGACAAGTTAGATGTATAAACGTTAGTGCTAATTTCTAGTGTGTGTACACATCAAAACACAATGTCGAAACGTTTTGGATTAAAGATTAATTTATAAATCTTTGCTTTTTATTTTTTTATGTATCGCTCCACAAGAACTTACTCATATATATATATATATATATATATATATATATATATATATATATATACAGGCATTTGTGTATTGATATTTGTACATATATGCATAATAAGCTAATAAATCGTGCGGGAGCATTTAAATTCGAATAAAATATTTTGATATATTCCATTGCAGGTATCTTTGAAGAGCCCCGTTTACCACGCGGCCCCTTTGCCACTGGCCTACTCGCATTATGATACCCCTCTGAGCTACGCTTCGCCTTTGGGATACGGCCACGGCTACGGCCACGGCTATGGCTACGGTTACGGCTACCATCACTGATCGACAAACAAGAAGATTCAAGAGGACAAGAGAATAATACTCAATCACATACTCAAAATTAACATCATCGTTCCATAGAATGTATATAAGTTTTCATAAAAAATATATTATTTTGCATCAGAAGTCTCAGTCATTTCTCTTTTAATTATGTGGAATTTTAAATTTATTGGTATAAGTCAAAACTTTAAGTCAAATTTATTGTACGGCAAGCATGTAAAAGGGATTTAATAAAGTTTAAGTGAAATTTTTTGTCACATGTGTCCGATTCAATTTATTGATTAAAAAATCAATATATAAAATTGTATATAAAATATATAATTTGAGATTACATATTCATGTAAATACAATAATGTATTATTAATTATAATTGACGAACCTGCCCCATTTCAATGAGTTTTTGAACTCTAACGTATGATACATTAAATATTTACTAACATACTAAGGAATGGTAGTTTTTATTAAAGTCTCACATTAGTGTCATGATCTATTGTAAGTTCAACACGCATAGCATAAAAACCGTTTTAAATTACCTTTAAACTATCTTCAAAACCAATGTGTAAAAAATTAACAAAAACACTCAAATCATTTGTCGTGTATAAATGACCGTAAACTCGTTTAGCAATGTTTTGGTTTATGATTTAGGCAATCACTTCCTCTATTATATCAAGGTCAATTCGAGATGTAGTACTATATAGATCGAATTCATCTCAAGATCTATACAGTCAAATTTAAATCAGTGCTATTAGCAGACCTCTTGAAAGTAAACGGCAGAAAAATGTTCAAGTTGGTTAGTAGAAATCACTGAACTAATTAGTAATTGAAAATAATTAGTTATCACTCTTGTGTACGAATTATTATATAAATTGCTTGAAAATACTTCGGCTAAGTTCTGAGTAAAACTTTGTGCTATTGATTGACGTAGTTTAAAATACGATATTTTTATTAGGTGGCACTTTTCGCCTTGTTAGCCGTGGCAGCAGCCCGTCCAGGATACGTAGCACCTGTTGCTTACACTGCACCTCTCGTCAGCTACGCCGAACCATCTTTAACCGTAGTAAAAACAGTTCCCCATGCCGTATCGCACCAGTCCAGTACCGTAGTCCATGGCTCAGCCCCCGTCGTAGCTCCCGTAGTCAGTCACTATGCTGCAGCTCCCGTTGTAAGTCATTACGGCACCCCAGTGGTCAGCTACTCATCGCCAGTTTTAAGCACTTGGTAACAAGGATAAAGGAACATCTTTTAAATTAAGTTTTTGTAATATATATTTTCAATTTCAAACTTTTTCCTCACTTCGTGACATAATTATTAAAGTCACTCGTTAGATTGAATAAAAAATTTGTAATTTTAATAAATTTAGTTTTGATTATATCCGCTTTGATTTATAATTCACTAAAGCTGTAAATACATGATATTGTAATAAATTCAACATTTTGTCTTTTAATTGCTTTGCTGTGGAAATTCATGACATTATCTCCTTACAGATTTTTGATTTAGAAAAAAAGTATGTTCAAAGTGAATACATTTTATCAGATATATATCATATTAAAACTTTGTGTTCAATTACATGAAAATGAAAATTAATTCTTAACTTTTTTAATAATGCTCTAGAATCATCAGTAATATAATTAAAAAAACTTTATAAATTAACTAACATTTTATTTGTATATGTTTTTTTTCTAGACAATTCATTATATGATTATAGTTTTAATATTTACAATGTTGTAGACATCTCGTTTTCTCTTGATTATGATAAGTCCAATGTAATTGGTGTATTAAACGGCAAGTATAATTCATAATCTGCAAACTACCATCCATGTACGAGGCCGTGATGGCCGTAAACCAATGGTGACGCATAAGAGCTGACTACTGGCGCAGTATAATGGTGGCCGATAGCTGGAGCAGAATAGTGACTAACTACAGGAGCAATGACGTGTGATGCTCCATGAACTACAGTGCTGGATTGGTGAGATATGGCATGGGGTACACTTTTAACGACTAATGGAGCGGAGTAGTGACTTATCACAGGGGCCGTATAAGCCAAAGGCGCTACGTATCCTGGGCGAGCAAAAGCTACAGCTACGAGAGCAAATAAAACGACCTAGGAACATTATTAAAATTACATATTTCGGTTTAATGTCACAAATATATGTATTCATTTGCCATAATTCATTGATAATAATGATAAATCAATTGATTTAGCAATACTGTGTCTCGGAATCACTTACCAGTTTGAACATTTTGATTTAGTTTTGAATAATTCTCAGGAGGTCTGAATGATTTGCTGTTGAATTTACAACTGTGCAGGTCTACAGAACGACATCAGACTATATAGTACTAGACAACAGAATAACCTTGATGTGGAAGTAGAGGAAGTGCTGAAGTTGCAAAAGAAGCGTACCATTAATATCGCAGTATGCAATGAAGGCGTTCCATGTGTGATTTAATAAGACGACAAGACAAGTTAAATTTTTACAATTTTTCAATAAGCAATGCCTCAACTAGACAAGATTATTAGGCCTTCACTGAAACCTTTGCGCAACATATATCACACTGGTATAATCGAAGTTATGCCATATATAATATGATCGAGTAATGTAATTATTTATACATATACGATATCTTTGTATGGGCACAGACAATATTAATTCGATCGCTAGGATGGTGCACAGACAGACGAAAATAATAAGTATTCCGATATAGACCAAAGGCTATAAAATATCAACGGTCTGAGAAAATTACGAAATTATGCTGATTTACATGTTACTAATAAAGGCCATCTATGTCATATGAAATCATACAAGTCTTTTCTAACAATATGATAAGAAAATTATGTAAAACATCATTGTCTTTTCCATTGCGTAATGGTACTTACTACGAGTCGACGGCGAAAGTTTTATTGTCGATTGAGCTAGTAAGATTAGCAAGCAAGTGATTCAGAAACAAAAATGTACCGAGAGACATGGCGGCACGTACCATTGCAAGAGAAATAGCGCGGCCGAAGATCCATAACCCACATTTCCCGTCAGTGAACGAGTTGTCGAGTTCCAGTCGTGAGCTAATAGTTATGCAGCAATGACATACGTGCAATCGTTGCATAATATCGAAATATAAATGATTATGTTGCATGCTATCATTCACTTCTAATAGCTGTTGTCAAAACTTATTAATGGTTGTCCTATGTCTATTTGATTAATTATTATTACAATTTATGAAGCCCTTTCGTTTCGTTGGAGTTATTTCGATTAAAAGTATCAGCTATAGAGTAAAAACATGCCACAAAATGTGTGTATGCTGCGATTCCTCATTTTCTAAATATCTATCGTAGCAATAACCAACGAAATTAGCAAATCAGTTTAACGATTGACAAGAACAAAATCAAACAAACGAAGAGATAATAGTGCACAGGAGAATTAAAATAATCTTATTTTCGGTCATTATTATATGATCCCATATTTGTTCAGACAAATTGCTGCTGTACAAAAAATTTGTCTCGACCTTGAAAAAAAGTTTAATAAATAAATATTATAATAATAAACAACTGTCTATTATTTTTTTATCATTTACATTAACTTCTGCTTTTTCATTTTCTAAATATGTGCAAACATATTTACTCATCATTAAATCAACACTGCTTGAAATGAAAAAATAATAGTGCATGAACTACTAGTAAGTCAAATAATTGCATGACAAATTAGAAACAATATGCTTACATTACAATAATAAAGCATTTACATTTGCATCGATAATAACGGTCGATATTTTGGAAATAATACTGCAACAATTTTTCATAATTAAGATATTTGCTATTTAATTTGTTTATCTATATGCAAATAACTTTGATTTTAATGATCAGATTGACTATAGTCGATCATATGTCCTCAAATCGATGCCTTGATTCAATACAAACAAGCAATTAACATTAGCAAAGATTCTTCTATTCTGAAATACTACGATTCTTATTTAAATATATTCAAATTCATATAACTTTATTAAAATGATTAAGAGGCCACTTTAACATTTCTATTCCTAATGTTGAAACTATGTGATTAGAATGACACGTAAAATAATTGAATTACACGTTGAATAATTTTTTAACGTATATTGTAAGAGAAATAGTTAACTAACAATGAAAAATTTGTATAATTTATTGTATAACTTTAGAAGTATTTCAATATTTTCAGGTTCTGTATGGAAAGGGTTCAAAACCCTCGTATAATTCTTTGACCTATTTAATTTCCATTGTATAATTTATCGTGACTGAGAAGTTGTATAATTTTCTCAGTTATTAGAAATAAGTAGGATTTAAATACACGGGCGAACTGTTTGCAATAATAATGCCGCAACGAAGCAGATCAATTACCGTTCCAGGTATGTAAAAAATTGAATATTTTCAACTTCCCTGTCTGTGTTGATTGAGTTGAAGACACAGAAGTATATTTTTATTTAGGGCAAGTATTTCTAAAGAAATCCAAATCGTGTCGCACAACACCGGACCGCATTAATATTAGCGGGAGTCCTTGAACAGTTCAAGTACCGAGCCGTACCTACGCTATTGCATTGCATCTTATCGTCTTCTTAAAAATAAAAAAAAATCACGGCGCAGGTGCGCACCACTGTCGCCTTCGAAAGAAAGTAATTGTTACAATTATTTTCAAAGTTTTTATAAAAATGTTTAATAAGTAGGCCTATGTGTTGTAAATATGTACATGCGAATTATTATTTACAGTACCTATTTTATATCTATGTTAATATTCTTATCTAGACAAAAGTGGGCCTAGTGCAAGATTTAGTAAATAAATTTAATACATTTACATTTTTAACTACATACATTACATTTATACATTTTTAATTAATTTAATTAAACTATTCAAAAAGTCGTTCATAATACTTGCTCTTTGATTTACACACAAAGAAATAGAAATAGAATTTGAAAACTAATCATGCTAACTAATCATAATCATGCTATCATAATCATGCTATCATAATATTGTGATTTGTATTACGTCATTTGTATCATATCATTAAATATATTAAAACTTTTCTAATTGAGATAAAAACTATAGATCACAACAGAGAATAAATATATTTATTATAAACCTTTTAGCTCATAAACAGAAATTCATGACGTATGTACCATATATATTATCATATCAATTCAGCAAGAACCTTGCTCGAAATATATTTAATTTTGAAGCTTTGAACTTCTGAAACAGGTATTTCTTGTAAATTTATTTCCCTGCTAATATTTGACAATCGATTCATTGGTATTTTATTGCGAACGTTATTAATAAAGTGCAAGTAAAACTTGTTATATTGAGGGTTTTGCCATAGGCATTTAAGTTAAATCTATTAGACTTCTAAATCTATTAGATCAATAGGCCATATGGTTTACTAATATATTGAATCGATTATTTGAAAGTATCACTGACGTACTGTTATGTTTTTTATATATTTTAATTAATAATTATCAAAGGTAATAAATAATAACCATTCCAAAATTTGTTGCAGTTAACTGTAATCATATAATGCATTTTATATTCCAGTGAAATAGTTTGTCAATATATGAGCATCAATAATATTGAAATTAATTTATCAAGTATCGCACCATAATGATTTACGCACATCAGATAATTATATCAATCATTATTAAATATTGTCCACTATTGTTTTCGGCGCATCGATGCATTTTCACTAAATGGACAATTTGTTGTATCGATACATTCGAAAATGCTCCCGTTTTGCAATGTTTTGGTCATCTGCGGACGTTGGTTAAGCCGAGCTGTTTTTTCATGGTCAGCTGCGGACGACATATAAAAGAACAATCAACTGTTGCTCAAGAAACAGTTTCAAAAGCTTATTCGAGAAGCAACACAGACCTCTAGAAGCTCTAAATAACAATTATCAAGATGTTCAAGTTGGTATGTTAGAATAGAACCTACATTATATATAATATCTAACTTCTTTTGTATGTGATAATATTTTATCAGGCTTCTAAATAACGTATACGCTTATTTCTAACAAAATATAACATATTAGGTTGTCAAATATCTCCCTTTTGCTCTTGGTTTATAATACAAAAAGGCGGAAGGGAGATATTTGACAACCTATTATAAAATGTGTAAGTTGTAATTCTCAACAATACCTGACAGTTATTGTTGTATATTGAATTTAGGTGGTGTTGTTCGCTCTCGTCGCCGTAGTAGTTGCCCGTCCCGGAAACCTCGGCTTAGCCTACTCTTACACAGCCCCTCTGGCTTATGCTGCTCCACTCGCGTACTCTGCTCCTCTGACAGTCGTCAAGTCGGTTCCAACTTCGGTCTCTCACCAATCCAGCACGGTGGTTCACGACTCGGCTCCAGTCGTAGCACCAGTCGTGGCACCGGCCGTTGTGGGCGCACATTACACACCAGCTTTGGCTTACTCGGCTCCATTGCTTCACGCCTGGTAGATTCGGAGGACGCGCAGCAGATCGAGACTTTTCACCTATAACAAAATGCACATTAATAAAGACTGATAATATTGTCCATACAAAAATATAATCATTTCAAACAGGAGTTATTTCATCGAATACAAAATCGAATTCAAGAAATAAATAATTGGCAATACAATTCAATAGTTTTATTACTAGATTATCTTGATCTCTAAATTAAGTTTGAATTCAGTTCTTGGTTAAGCTATATATTCAGTGTTAAACTCAAATTCATTGCAGGTAGTATTGCAAGTATTGAAGCTTAAATTCATTACAAAGAAATTATTAACAATATTTACAATATTTTACAATATTTTCATACAATATTACAAAATTATTTACAATAAGGCAAATAAAATATTATTAATGCAATTATTCTTAAATTCATTGCATTTTAATCAAAAAATTTAAATATTTTAAATTCTATTGCCACAATAATTACTAGTATTAACAAAATAGCACATGCTATATCTCCTAAATCAACAATATAGTCCGATTTACTCACCAAATTACAAAGAGTAAAAAGTACTTACAATTAGTTATTTTAATCTTGTTAAAATAGAAAAATCAATAAATAATGGTATCAGGATATGGTAATGCACTGCACTATGGCAATATAAGCATTAAACTTGTAATTAAACAATGTTTCACAAAATACTAACTTGAAAAATCACAAATGGATTGTGTGAAATATATTTATTTATTTATTTATTTATTTATTTAAATATATAGCCCACAGATTTCTCCAAGAGGACTCAAAAATACAATTATTTGACATAATGAATAACAATTAAAATATACACAAAATTACAATATATAGTTATATATGCCTTGTCCTCGCGTTTCAAGTCAGTTATCCCTATGGTAACTTTTCGGTTGCTTCGCGTTACAAGTCAGTTATCCCTATGGTAACATTGCAGATATATATTAAATTATTCTATGCAGAACATACCTTACCATGAAGCGAGAGATTTAATTCGACGCGATACATATGCTAGCAAGACTAAATCCAAGTTTGTTAGTTTTGATAAAAATAATGACTTTCCAGTCATTAAATCCAATACAAATCATAAACAGACATCAGGCCCGGTTTTAAACCACATTAATAGATTCGACGTCTTATCAGACATGGAAGGTGAAGAACGTAATGATGACGGAAAGGTGGCCACAATCAGTAGACCTAAAAGATATGGTTTCAAAACCATAAACAGAAAGTCCGAGATTAAGACCAATTTCACAGAGAATAAAAAGGAGGAGCTGGTATCAGCAGCAGTTACTTACAACCAGTTGGAAACAAAGTATAGTCCTAGGAAGCGTGTAAAATCAAATTCGGAACATGTAACCGTAGATCGGTCAATTAGGAATATAAGTGAGCAGTATAAAGACTCAGATAAAACATTGCAGAGGTTATGAAATTAATGAAGGAAATTTGCAGTACGGGTGATGAAAATCAATTTAAATTGCTAATATTTGAAATGAAAAAGATATTGAATGTACAGCGGGGTGGAGCTGGAAATCAGCACCAATAATGTCTTTAGTTTCGGTCGTAATTACTAATAAATACTTAATAGAACATGACAAGAATAGTGTGTATATATAATAACATTTAAAAAAGTTATAAATAATTAATACAAATCGATTTTATGGCAAGTACAAATTTAGAGAATAACTCTGTAATGGATGTAACAATTCTTCAGTGGAATGCAAGGTCATTTATGTCTAATAGAAGTAGTTTAGAATATTTTTTGTCATGTCGAGATATATCAATCTTGGCTATTACTGAAACCTGGTTTCAGAAAGAGAAAACTTATGTATTTTCAAATTATAATATAGTGAGAGAGGACAGAGATGATGGAAAAGGAGGTGCGGCGATATTCGTGCATCGTAACCAGCCATATAATGTGGTAGCAATTAATTTAGGATCTTTGGATCCAAAAAGATGCCAAAGTTGTGGAATTTACTTAATGGTAGGAAATGTTAAATTATACGTTATTTCTATTTATGTTGCACCTAATTATTATGTCTCAGTAAATGAGTGGAATGATTTTCTTTCGCGATTGCCCAAACCCGTTATTCTTTGTGGAGATTTCAATGCACATCACTTTTCATGGGTAGTAATTTTAGTGACAAATATGGTAATAATTTCTTAGAGGCTATTGAAAATAATAATTTATATATTCTCAATAATGGAAAGCCTACCTTAAAATTTAAAAATAATATGTCAGTAGTAGACATCTCTTTGTGTTCGCATAATTTTGCGCACAGAATAGACTGGAATGTATGTGATGATTCATTAGGGTCGGATCATTATCCAATTTTGCTGAAGTTGAGAGGTGTGCCAAGAGCAAGAAAATATAATCCAAGTTGGAATTGTAAAAAAGCCGATTGGACAAAATACCAGTCAGAGATAGGAAAAAATTTGGAGAGTTTTAATAGCAACGACCCGGTTCGTGCGTATGAATTTTTCATAAATGCTATTAATTCAGCGGCCAGAAAAAGTATTCCGATAAAAAATGGGGACCTGAATGCTAAATGTGCTAAACCAGTATGGTGGGATGAGGAGTGTGATAAAAATAATAAGAGAGCGCAGAAAGGCGGAAAAATATATAGACAAAAGTCTAGTTATGAAAACTTTGTTGTATGTAATACTATTAACAGTAATATTAGAAGAATTTTCAAGAAAAAGAAAAAACATAAATGGTATCAGTTTACGGATAATCTAAAACCGAATACCCCACCGAGGGAGGTATTTGCAATGATCAAACGTCTTAAAAATTTTGTGGAGCCTGTTAATTCGAAATGAAAATATACCGCATGAAATAAGAGAAGGAGTAATGGATTATTATGCCCCTGCCGGGGTCGAATCTTGTATTGGAATATGTTACAAAAGCAATTCGTTACTGAAAGATCATATGCTGCTAAAACCGTTTTCATTATGGGAGTTAAATTTAGTTTTTGGGAAAAATACGGATACAGCACCGGGTAAGGATCTTATATTTTATTCTATGATTAGTAATCTACCATTTTCGGCCAAGAAAATATTTATTGAAATTATCAACAATGTATGGTTAACACCTGAAAAAATTCGGAATGGAATGATTACGTATTAATTTTTATTAAGAAAGCCCAGAGAAACCCAAGTATAATATCGTCATATAGACCAATATCGCTAGCTTCATGTGTCGCTAAAGCAAAGACAGGATGATTAAAAGGCGTTTTAGAATGGTGGGTAGAAAAAAATAATATTTTGCCGACAAGTCAATATGGATTTCGAAAAGGCCTTGGAACATATGATAACTTAAGTATTTTCTTGCTGACTTACATTTTCTAATGCTAAAAATAACTATGTCGTGGCATTGTTTAGCGATATCAGAGGAGTTACGATAAGTTATTCCTGAAATTTTAAGCAAAGCCATGAATGATATAGGACTTCCACATGAATTTTCGAGGGCTATAACTGCTTCAGTTTTTGAGAGAAACGTTTACTTCAAAATTAATGATACGATCATAGGACCAAGAAAGATGTATAAGGGTCTTCCGCAAGGCGGTATTTTAAGCCCAATTTTATACGCCTTGTATGTAAGGGAAATAGAATAATTTGGGAACCTGGTACTAAAATTTTGCAATATGCAGACGATGTTGTAGTATACGTGGAGAAACAGAGTCCAGGAAGCTATAGATGCAATGTCTCGGAACATTGAACACTTTCATGTGTGGCTAGCAAAAAAAGTCTTGAGTTGTTGATGACAAGAGTTCGGTAGGTATTTTCACAAGGCATAGGGACAAAAATTTCCCTACAAGTATTAATAGTTGGAACCATTCCATCAAAATTGAAAAATATAAATTCCTAGGGATAATTTTTGATCAAAAACTCTCATTCAAAACGCATATTAATTATGTAATAAAAAAGTCGAAAAAAATATTAATTTATTGAGGATGGTGATTGGAACATGGTGGGGGGCTCATCCTATTACTGCCCTTAAATTATACAAAGCGCTAATTAGACCGCACTTAGATTACGGGTGCATAATTTTTAATAATAACATGCACTGTAAAAAATTAGACAAAGCGCAGTATAAAAGTTTAAGAATATGCCTTGGAGCAATGACATCCACGCCTACCAATGCTTTACTCGTGGAAAGTGGTGAATTGCCGTTAAACCTCAGAAGACAATACCTGAGCGACAAATTTATAATAAAGAGACTTTTAGTACAAAATACACCAATAATAGATAAAATAGATAAGGTTGCTATAGATACGATAATGAGCAAGTACTGGAGAAAAAAAAACAATTCCTAGTTTAGTTAATAGTTATAGGTATGTATCAGAGATTAGTGCAGGCACGGTCAAGTACACGAAGCATCCGTATTATAATATTCTCCATCTAGACTGCACTTTAATTATGGAGAAGATTTTCAAGGTTGATGATGATAATTTAAATGAATTTAAGTTTATTTTTACGGATGGCTCTAAATACAAAAATATGGCTGGTTGTGCGGTGTTTCAGGAAAATTTAAAGATAAAATTAGGTTATAAATTTCCGGATTTTGTGTCAGTATTTACGACTGAATTAATAGCAATTAAAAAAGCACTAGAATTAATAAAAAGATACAATTTTCAGAAAGCGATTATATTTACAGACAATAAAAGCTGCATTGCAAAATTGCAAAACTTATTCTATACAACAAAATTACTTGATGCAGAGTACTATGTAATTTGGAATAATATTGCTAGACTAGTAGAAGGGGGCCATAATGTGAAATTATTATGGGTCAAGGCACACTCTGGGATTGTAGGGAATGAATTAGCAAAGAGGGCTTCAGAGCATGGGCCAGAGGTAAAGGTTGCCATGTATAAAGATTTTTTAAATAAAGTGTCGCAAAGGATCAACATGGAATGGCAAAAAGATTGGGATGTTTCATCTCAGACACGTGGTCAGTATTATAAAAGAATTAAACCGGTAGTGAATAAAAAACTATGGCAGGAGCAATTTAAAGAAGAAGACAGAAGGGTGTAGTGACAGTTACGAGATTGAGATTAAATCACGGGTTATTTCCAACTCATATGTTTCGGTTGAAACTTATGGAGTCAGACCAATGTGCATGCGGTGGTGCAAGCGGTACCTGCGAGCATATTGTTATGGAGTGTAATAGATATGTAGTGCAAAGGAAGATAATGTTGACAAGTTATATAAGTTAAATCAGTGTGTTAAACCTTTCAATTTATTTACTGTATTACAGAATATAAAATGTTATAGGTTGCTATGTGATTTGTGAAAGAATGTAAAATTAGTTTTAAGTATAATTAGTTAATTATTGTATTAAATATAATGTAATGTAGTAAGTGGCTAAATGCTCAAGTTAGCAAGGCCAATAAAAAAACAAAAAAAAAAAAAAAAAAAA